TACAAAAATAGCAACAAACTCCACACTCTCATATATTCAATGAACATATGTTAAAACATATCTTATAAAATACTCTTAACAAAGATTACGATCTCAAAGAACATAGTTACATAAAAATTAAATTAGACGGAAAATCAAAATATTTACGAAAATACAGATTCATACAAAGAAAGTCATTAATTCACATATAAAACTTGAACATTTAGAACACTACAAACACAAAACACAATAATTAACACAAACTTACAGAACACTGAAACAACACTTACTTAAACCTAACTTAAAGAACACTTACTTAACTCTAACTTAACTAGTGAATAATACTCCCCTCTTTAACACCACCTCTTAATACTAGACATCTGTCCAAATATTATAATTTATCTAGCACTCCCTTGCACTTATATAATATATTTCTTTCTTCTCTTAAGACTCTTACGGCCTGATGGTTCCATATCAGTGGTGGAACTTTAATAGCTTCCACTGCGAAACAATAGCAGACTGTATCTGTGGTTTTTTATCATATGAAGATTGAACGGACTTTCATCAATATAAATGATATTTCTGTAACGTTGTTGCTATGTCAAGTATAAACAACTTGAAGCATATATTTTTCTTTCTTCTTTCACCTCTGCAGTATTGCATCTTTATCTAATTGGTTTTAAAATTTTATACGTACAATTCAATTTTATTAGCTATCGCCATAATATAGTGACAATATTTTTACTTTTATCTTGTAGCTTATTTCTTATTTCCTTAGTACAATCTGACTGTCGAAAACCACTTCTAATACAAGGATTGATAATACCTGTTTATATATATTTCGATGGACCAGGCGTCGTATTGAAGTCTCACTTCTATGCACGAGTTCCGATACTTCTTTTCCACTTTTCCCTTCGTTAATTACAAGATTAATGATCAAATTTCTTACCTCAACATTAATTTCTGAGCGTTGTCTTTATGCGTTATTTATTTTAGAGTTTTAAAAAATTTAAGAAAAAACGGGCATAAATTGTATATAAAGAAGTTAAATTAAATGAAGCAAAATATCATCATATAGAAAAACCGCCACATTAAATGCAAAAACAGGTTTGTTTATAAAGTGAGGATTTCCCATTTAATGTGGAGTGCTTCTTATATCTTTAATTTGTGTTCGGTTGGAGCATTATCCAAAATCTCAAAAGAACCACAGCTAGCCAGGTTTTTGCAATTAATTGACAAATTTAAGTGTTTACATATAGGAGATTGTTTATCACTTTTAAGATGCTCATTCATTGTAGTTGCCAAATGTCTGGAGGTTTCCCCAATATAACTGCCATTACAGCCAGCGCAAGAAAAAGACAACGTGAGATTTAAGCAGTTTAGGAAGTGACTTTTTTAAGCAAAAACAATCTTGTATTTTAGGATCTCAACCTGCAAGAATTTACGCATTACCTAAGATGCACAAAGTTAGCAAAGTTCTCTTCCAACAATTCGACCTATTATCTCTACAATCGGAACATATAACTACAACCTTGCCAAACATCTTTCTCATTTATTGTCTCCTCATATACCAAAACGATTTTGCACTTTAGACTCATTTTGTTTTGTTGAAGAAACAAAACAAACTAATGTAACTAATAAATTTATCGTTCCATATGATGTTGAAAGTTTGTTCACGAGTAAACAAACTTCACATGATGCTATAAACATATCTATTTAATTTTACTGTCAGTTTTTTTTTTTTTTGACAGTTGGTTATTTTGATTGGTTATTTGCCGAGTTATTTTGTAATTATTATATTGGTTTATTATGTATAATTTTTGTCCATTATTATTTCTCTGTAAAGACATATTTTTTAATATTTATTTCAGAGTTTTATTATTGTAAAATAATCTTTTGAAAACGTAAATAAAATTTTACGAAACATGTTAAGAATAAAAAACATTGTGTTATCTTTATAAATAATTATATATATATATATATATATATATATATATATATATATATATATATATATATATATATATATATATATATATATATATATATATATATATATATATATATATATATATATATATATATATATATATATATATATATATATATATATATATATATATATATATACATATATATATATTAGGTTTTTTTTTCAATTTTTTTTTCAAAAAACTATGCACAACATCTAAATGTGTGCAAAATAAAAAAAATAACAATAGTTTTAAAATTTTTTTTGAATAAAAAATATTTTAAGGGATTACGAAGACCCTTAAATTTAATGGGTCCCTAATATTTAAAAAAAAAATTTTTTTTTAAAGTAGGTCAACCTAGTACTCAAATGAAGCGAAATTATATAAAAATTTCAAAAATAATAGTTGTTTAGAAAAAATATTAGGGACCCGTTAAATATTCAAGGGTCTTGGGGGACCCCTTAAAATATTTTTTATTTAAAAAAAGTTTAAACCTAGTGCTATTTTATTATTTTGCACACAAAAAGGTTGTGCCTAGTTTTTTGAAAAAAAGTTAAAAAAAACCCACCCTAATATATATATATATATATATATATATATATATATATATATATATATATATATATATATATATATATATATATATATATATATATATATATATATATATATATATATATATATATATATATATATATATATATATATATATATATATATATATATATATATATATATATATATATATATAGTAAATGCATTCTATAAAAAAGATATTCAAATTTATTCTAGAAATACTTTTTAACATTCCACTTTTCCCCACTCTTCCCTAAAAATTAATCAAAAAAATAAAAAATAATAACATTTTATATTTGGCCATAATTTGTAATATTTAATTGTTGATACAATGACAATACTATTTTTATTGTATAATATAATAATAAAAGTTGTTTTAGAATATTTGTTGTCAATGTTTATATAATGCGTATTGTAATTGTATATACAATTACAAGATATATTGTATACACAATGTATACTGTTCTATAAAAAATTTATCCAAATGAAAAAAAGGAATATTAAAAAATTATAATTTTGGCAATAGCTATGGCAATAACAATACCAAAAAATTGTAAAAATATTGATCAATAATGTTATTTTTAATCAACAATATTGTTGATATAAAACTAATATTGTTATTTTAAACTTTTTACCATTTTTGAAAAATAATTTTTTAATTTTCTGTTATTTAGACAGTTTTTGATATAATTATTTATATAAAAAGTATTTATAGTCTTTATTTATTTTTTAAATTCATTATATAAAAACTGAAAACAAATTAGATTTAATAAAAAAAAAAAATCTAAGAAATAAAATATTAAAGTAAATATTAATTAAAACTTACAACTTAGTTTAAAATAAACAATTCTTTATGAAAAAGTTTTATTATTTGGATTTCAATATTATTTCAATTGAAGAAAAAAGCATGACGCGCGCATTTAACAACTACCTAAAAACAAAAATATATCAACTAAAAGTTAACCATAAAAAAAAAATTATGACTAATCATTTGCAGCTCTTCCGCATTTTTATAGAGAAAATTATTATTTTTTCATAGAAACAGATTAAGCATTTTTTTTGTTGTTGTATTCAGAGTTGATAATACCGTCCGGCGGTAAAGTAACTTTCTGCCTGAAAAGAAGCTGTTGGCGACGACCTCCCAATCAATTTTAAGCATCAAAATGTTCTTTCTTCCGCCTTCAGTAGCTTCCGCCGTTCTATTAACGGCCGCAGCCGCCGTTCTATGAATGGCCGTCCCCAATGGCTTCTGCCTCCCAACTGGCTGCGGCCGCCAAATTAGAAACGAAAATATTTGTCTTCCGCCAGCGGATGTAATAAAAAATAATTGCACGTTTGCTTTTTAGTTAACGAGCAATTAAATATTAAGTAGAAACCGATGTGAAATATTTTACGTTTCATTTGATATGATTGCTTGCAAAAGTTTTAAGTATTTCAAAAAATTCTAATTATTTTTTTTTAAAACAAATAAATTAAGCAGAATAAATTAGTAGTTTTATTATTCAAAACAAAAGTTAAAAGTAGGAAATTTTACTTCTATGCCATTGGGGTTGTTCATTAATTACGTCAACAAAATAGGGGGAGGGGGTCTGAACTTTTTAAACAATTGTTGACAAGGGAGAGGGGGTCAATTAAAGTTGATGTCAACAATTTTTTTTTTTGAGTTTCATTACTTAAACTTAAACTGCTCGAACGAATAATCTACAATCGTTTACATAAATACCTAACCACAAACAAAATCCTGAATGAAAACCAATATGGTTTTCAAACTCAGCACTCGACAGAGCATGCTATCGTAGACCTCGTCAATAGGATTAATGAATCAATCTATGAAAAAAAGTTCGTATTAGGAGTCTTTGTAGACTTGTCAAAAGCGTTTGACACAATAGATCATGAAATCCTACTAAAAAAGTTGGAAAAATCCGGATTAAAAAACCATACCCAATAAGAAAAAAAACGTCGGAACAACGTTGTTCTAACGTCTTTCGTATCGTTAGAAAGACGTTGGCATGATGTTTTAAATGAAACACCGAAAAAACGTAATTTTACTACCGTTATTACAACGATGTAAAATGACGTGGTGACAACGTTACATTTTAGCTAAATGACGTCGGAAAGACGTTAGAGCAACGTTGAATTTTAAGAAAAAAGACGTTATAAGGAAGTTAGGCTAACGTTATATTTTAGCTAAAATGACGTTGAGCCAGCGTCTTTTCTATCGTTTTTTACACGTTGGAATAACCCAGTAAGAAAAAGACGTTGAGCCGTTATTGTAATTTGGTTGGATTTTGGTTGCGACCATGGCCTACTTTATAGAAGGCCTCGACACCGTGCGGGAATTTTTTTGACTGAAGGCCGATTTAAAACTGTTACAAACGCATTTTTTGGTTTGAAAAGGAGTAAAATATTAGTTACGTTTTTCAGAAAAATTTACAGCTATTCTTCTAGTAAATTTAATTTAAATTATTTAGAATGCCTTTAAAATGTTGTGTTCCAAACTGTTCCTCAAATTATAAGTCTTCAGCTTGTAATGTATCTGTGTATAAATTCCCTCATGAAGTATGTGAAAAAACTAAATGGTTTATGAGCATCGCTCGTTTAAATTGGACCGTAACAAAATACACCGTTGTTTGTAAATTGCATTGGCCATATGATGCAGAGTTTAAATTATGTCGTGGTAAATTGAGACCGATTTGTCCTCCATCAGTGTTTCCAAATATATCTAAAAGTTGTCTATCCTCTCCACCACCTAAAACGAGAAAGACTTTATCTTCTTCTTCAAAAAGAGGTATCAGAAAAGAGGAATTAGAAGAACATAAAATAATTGATAATTTAAATTTTGAAGAAATCGAAAAACTTATAATGATTTGATTTCATACAAGCAAAATTCAATTTTCATCCAATCTAAAATATTTAATTGTGGTGTTCCACTATTTTTGCTAATAATTAATCAAAGTTTGTCGTTCGAAGCATTTCATTTTGGTTCAAAATGTACTATTTAATCTCTGGCAAATAACAGAATCACTTCCCTTTGTACAAAGTCATCTTTAAATGAAGCCCTTAGATATCTGAAAGTTGAAGATAAGGATCATAAAACTCAAGTAATGTTTGAGCATTTAAATGTAATGGGAGATCATGGCTGTGCTTTGTATTCTCCAGATATAATAACCAGAGCTTTTGAATATTTTGCAACAAGTCGTTCCACTTACCATCGATTATGTTATGATTATCAGTTGCCAAGTATTCGAACTTTGACACACATAACTTCAAAAATAAACTCTCAAGATGATTTAACTTTTTTAAGTTCTGTGTTATCGAACCTTGATGAAAAAAAAAAAGAAATTGTGTTTTATTGATAGATGAAGTTTATGTAAAAGCAGCATTATTATATCAAAGTGGAAGTATTTTTGGAAAAGCTGTTAATAATCCAGAGAAATTAGCTACTACTGTACTTTCATTCATGGTAAAAAGCCTTTATGGTGGACCTGAATTTCTAGCAAGAGTTTTACCAGTTAGTAATCTGACATCAGATTTCCAACAAGAACAATTGTAGACACCATAGAAAGTTCTATGAGTAATGGTAAAGTTATTGCAATTATTACAGATGAAAATAAAGTTAATCAAAGCTTTGTTTCTAAATTCAAAATCGTAGACGGAAAACCTTGGTTATGTCAAAATGGCTCTTATATTTTATATGACTATGTCCATCTATTAAAGTGCATAAGAAATAATTGGCTGACTGAAAAACTAGGTCAGTTACAGTTTACTCAAAATGAGATAACTTACACTGCAAATTGGAGAGATTTAGTTAACTTATATACACTTGAAAAAAACCAATTAATAAAGTTATCCAGATTGACTGAAACATCAATAAATCCTAAACCAATAGAACGGCAAAAAGTAAGCACTTGTTTACAAGTATTTAGTGAAGAGACAGTTGTAGCTCTAAAAAATCATCCTAAAATAGACCAAGAAAGTGTCAAGGGTACTATTATTTTTTTTGGAGTTGATTATAGAATTTTGGAAAATAGCGAATTTTGGAAAATAGTGAACGGCAAGGTTCTGGTGGTAAGTACTTTATAACTGCTAAATCAGTTATCGAAAAAGTACGTATTCAACATGCTAAGCTGGTGCTACAGCTGAATATCGAAGTAAAAGGAAATGATGGCCATGACTGTCTTTTATGTCTTAAAGATTTAGATGATATGGAAATTTATATAATTTAAAATTTTCTATTGCAAAGAAACAATGCCAAACACTAGCAAACATTTTTTTAAAGAACTTTGCGTTACTTCACACTCCCAAAAGTAATAAAGAAGCAAAACTAAAAGAAATCAAGCTTATTTAATTTTTTTTTGGGAAGATTTAGTTCAAAAAACATTAGATTTGTTATTGGTGTATTTTTCTGATTATTTATTATTTCTTGTATATTCAAAAATTTGATTTAAAATGTTTCTATTCAACTTTACAAACTATTTTAGCTTATAAAATAGTTGTCAAAATTTTTTCAAATAGAATAATTAGTTATTAAATAATTAGTGTTAGCAAAGCTGTACATCATTTTTCTCTTTTAATAAACCGCCATTTAATTTTTAAATCGGCCTTCGGTCAAAAAAATTCCCGCACGGTGTCGAGGCCTTCTATAAAGTAGGCCATGGTTGCGACGCAAGTTAACTAAATTCCAACGATGCTCCAACGTTGACATTACGGTATTGTTCTAACGTTTGATATCAAACGTTGAAACAACGTTGGAAAAACGTTATCATCTAACGTCTTGATGTTAACATTAAAACGACGTTGGAACAACGTTGGTTGTTTAACGTAAAACCAACGATTGCCTAATTAACGTTCGAACGAGTTTGGAATAACGTTGGTTTTATTACGTTTTTACTTTTGACATCAAAGCAACGTCAGCATTTTAACGTAAACACAACTTGATTTTACAAAACAAAGGAAAACTTCCGCATTTTTAAAATGGTTGACACAGCTGTTTCAGAGTGGACATACGGCTTCTTGTTATTTTTTGAAAATAACTACTTAGGGGGTGTTACTAAAACTTTCATAACTTTTGAAATATTAAAGATAAATACGTTCTGTAAAAAGAATATGAACACTGACTAAATGTTTTATATTTTATTATTTAATATAATAATCCAAGGCTCCTCTGATTTTTAAATAAACGCGCAAAATGACAAGCTTGGCAGAATTTCGATATTTTAAAGGTACTTTTTAGCAAAAATAATCAGAAAAATTATATTTCTGTTGACTAATATGAAATATAAACATAGTTAAACCAATTATAAATCATATTAACATTATTTACACCGAATGCAAACTGATACAGGCACTACAATAAACGAAATAAAAAAAATTGCAAAAATTTTTTTCTTTTTTTAAAAGATTTAGAACAAAAAAAAAAGAGTTTTGAATTATTTTTGCTTTCGGTCGTAGAATAATTTCCTAACACTTAGATCAATATTACAATATTAACACTTTTCTGTGGAAAAATAACGCATTTTTTTATAAATATACATAACACACGGCGATCTATACTGAAGGCCTTGCCATCGCGCAAACAGCTTAGTTGACTGGGGGCCTATTTTATTTTAACGGCAAAAACAAAACAAAAAAGTGTTCAGTAATTTTATATTAACTCAATGAACTTTTTACTCTCAAACTGTTTCATTTTATAACAAACAAACTAAAATTCAAACAAAATATTTCTTAACTTATAAATTTTTTCAAATTCAAAAACAAAAATCATATATATATATATATATATATATATATATATATATATATATATATATATATATATATATATATATATATATATATATATATTCCTAAAGATCCAGTAGTAGTGTAGTAGCGAAACTCAGAGTTGAAGAAAAAAGATAGATAAATATTTTTAATAATTAATTATTGCTCTGTTCTCTATATATATCTATATTCTATATATATATATATAAATATATATAAATATATATATATATATATATATATATATATATATATATATATATATATATATACATATATATATATATATATATATATATATATATATATATATATATATATATATATATATATATATATATATATATATACATATATATATATATATATATATATATATATATATATATATATATATATATATATATATATATATATATATATATATATATATATATATATGTATATATGTATATATATCTAACCTTGACAAAGTTTGTTGCTAAAAGCAACAAACTTTGTCAAGGTTGAAAACGTTTTAGTAAGAAGTACAGAAAGTTATTTTTTTGATTTTCATGTGCATAAAGGGTTGTTATTTCAATAATTTTGTGAACTTGGCAAAAATATAACGTTTTTCATATAAAACAAGTAGCAACAAAAGTATAAAAGCTAAAAAATCTAACTTAAATTTTTTTTTTATCCATGTTCACCAAAAATCTGATGAAATAGGCATTCGTTTATAAGTATGTAAAATTTCAACCATAAAGCATGTAGCTTAAAATATCTATTCTTGATTCGCCCAAGACAGGTTTTCCTTAAAATACGCAAAAAACAGAAAAGTGATCCCAAATCATTAGCAATATTTTTACAACTTTTATTTTTATTCCGTTTAATCAGAATATTAATTTAACAAGGAAAGATAGATGTTTCATTTATTTTTTATTAGAACATAAAAGCGTTTATAGAAAAAAAAAAAAACCATTACTTTAAAGTTATTGAATTTTTATACTTTATATACCGTAATTTGTATATGCGGAAATTGTTTTTGCTAAACTCGTGACGTAATGCCCAAAACAGCCCGTTATCGAACAAAATGTTACTTTTAATCTGGTTTCTAGGCATTATAATCTGTGATACTAATAATTATTTCCTTGTTTCTTTATATTCTACAGTCGAATTAGATATTAAATTTTTATCATATTAATTATTAATAAATTAAAAACAGTTTTTGAAAATTAAAGTTTTGTAGCTTTTATTTATCATCAATAATTAATCATTAATTATTTTAATCATTAATTATTTTAATTATAATTAATTAATCATTGATTATTAATGATGCATAAGTTACTTTATTTGATTAGAACTTATAAACTTATAACTTATTTGATAAAACTTTATTTGATTTTCAAAAAATTTAGACATTTTTGTTATGTTTTTGTATACTTTGTATATTTAACATTACTTATATAGCAAAAATTACAAACATATATAATATTTGCACATAATATTTTATTTACAAATAAATAATGCAATGTTATGTTTTTTAAATATCCGTTATTAAAATTATTTGATAGTTTAATTAAATGCCAATAAAAATATAGATCGTATTTTTATGACATTTAATTCACTTGTCTTAATAAATAATATATGTTTATTTATTTACATGGAAAGTTTTTTAGTTTCTTGTGGAACTAGTTCTAGACTAAAAATTACCAAATAAGCTTCCTTATAACTTGTGTAATGTGTTTCTTTTATGAATTTGTATAATAGTATAATTCCTAAATTTTACTGATAAAAACAATGACATGCTATTCCTACAATATTATAACTGACACTGACTCTCACAAATTAAAGTTTCAAGTCACAAAAAAAGGTAAAAAATAATTTTTTTATGTTTTTGTATTAAGTTGTTTTTATTTATTTATTTTTTATTGTTATTCACCACCGGGTTACTACCAGGGACATAGTAGAGATAGAACTCAGAACTTCTCAGTATGAAGCAAGCAAAAAATATATTCTACAGAAACAGCAACAGAACATCTAAATTATACACTAGATCTTAATCATAATAAAGAAAATATTTATATAAATCAATACACGCAAAGTAGTAGATGATATACACTCAGTCAGTATTTAATTTTCAAAATGAATCACAATCTCATGTTTCCCTAATTTCAAAGTTGAAAGAAAGAGCTGATTTAGGCCATAAAGGCCATAAAGGGTGCTGCAGTTGAGGAGGCTCCTTTTTATTTCAATTATGGTTATAACACCCTCTCAACTCAATAACTCTGAAGTATTTCAATAAAGTACATGTCAAATATATTTGTGTGTAGTTTTTGTATATGATATGTGATATGATATAGTTTTTAAAATTGATATGTTATACCAAAATACATATATATATATATATATATATATATATATATATATATATATATATATATATATATATATATATATATATATATATATATATATATATATATATATATATATATATATATATATATATATATATTATATATATATATATATATATATATATATATATATATATATATATATATATATATATATATATATATATATATATATATATATATGTATAATTATATATATATATATACATATATATATAAATATATATATATATATTATATATATATATATATATATATATATATATATATATATATATCAAGATCAATTATATTGTAAAATGCTAATTGTTTGATAAACAGTTTATTAGAAAATGATAATTATTGAAGTTTAATCAGTGATTTTTTCTTTAAGCCTATTCCAATAGTTTTTATATTTACGAAAGTGATTATATGTTATATTTTACTAAACTCTCTATAAAAAGTGCTCATTTAGAAAACCCTTTAATATTTGTCCTGATTTTTAATTTTTGACCTTGTTCAATGGCCAGTTAAACATTTAGTTGCACATTTTTCATTATATAATTTGCTTGTCTGAATGCAGCAACATGGGCATAGGAAATAAATGTTACTAAAACATCTAATCATGTGAATACTGAAAAATTATTGTAATTACATTTATCTTGGTTTTCACATCTAGCCATTGATATTAAAAGCATGCTCCATAATGATCACATGTGTATTAACCAATGATATTTTATATAAACTAGTTGTCTTACTTCAATCCAAAAAGTGAAGCCGCTTTTGTCCTTTTTACAAATGACAGATTAAATTTGTAAACAAATACTATTTAACCATTTTTTTATATATGAAGTAAATATATTTTTATATATGTAATATATTTTAAATCTATATATGTAATCTATATATGTAAAAGTGTTAAGAGGAAATTAGAGTACTTGTAAAGTAATAACTTATGATTTCTAAATTTATTTTCGATTAAAAAGGAATTAAAATGGAAACAAACCTTAAATAAACCTTGATAAATACTTTATATTTATTATAACATGTTTTTGAATTATCTTTAATTTATTGGTTAATTTTGACTCGCATTTTGAACTTTTATTCCACACATTTGCTTCAGCTCTAACACTTTTTACAAATGGCAAATTATATTTTTAAGCAAAAAAAGCGACATCATTTTTTGTTCAATAAAGGACCGCAAGTTTTACATCTAGTTTATATAATATATCATCTAGTTTATATTATATAGTTTGTTTTGGGATTGTCTGTCAATTATTTATATTTTGAAAAAACGGAGCCAGAGGTATGTGATTTGTCATATTTTTTTTCTTATTTATTTAGGTTATACACGATTATTATATTAGTTCGGGCAAATAATTGAATACGGAAATTAAAAGACTAAAAATAAATAAACATTGCATTACTTCTATTCCAAAATTTTAAAATTATATACAATAACTTAGAATGAAACTAGTTTGATTTTTACTTTCTTTGCAAATTTCAATTATATCTCAAATAATTCGCGTATTCTTTGTTTTACACTAAAAGACAATTATATATGAAGAAACATAAAGTTTCAAACAAATCCAATTAAAAGCATTTTTAAGAACTAAATAAAAAACATTCAGAATAAACAAATAGAAATAACACAAATACCAGAAATTGCGCTAATTTTCTATTTGATGCTAACCTGAGTTTTTCTGCTTTCGAAAGATTATTGACTGTAAATCGTTTAGCAACATTAACTGAAATAGAATAAACAATACCTCAAGAAAATGCAAAACTAATGAAATTGCCTCCAAAATAATTTAATTGAATAAATAAACAAAATTAATTTAAAACACAAATTCATGAAATAATGGAAAAAAAATATGTCTAGTTTTAACCTCAAAAGATATAAAATATCTTTGAGTTCAGATTCCTGGAAAGTTATTTTTTTACAAGTGTTATTTTGGCATTATATTTTTTTATAACATGAATTGCATGGTAAATAAAGAAACTAAAATGGTACATTTTCACTAAGCAAAGAATCAAAAATTGTTTTTATAAATAGCTCTCTTTAAGACTAATGATTACTTTGTTAGGTGTTTTTTCTTCCAATCCGAACTACTTATATTTCACTTAAACCTTTGACCATTTGAGCAAGTGGCATCTTCTTACCAAAAGCCAATAATTTTTTAAATAAAAAGGCAGACATATCAAGAAGCAATCATTCAGAAAACTATAAAAAAATGAATAAGGTTATGTAAATTGTATGTTATGAATGTTGGACCATAATAATCCACAGCCTTAATAATCCAGTCATCCAAACCAATTTAATAGCATCAATGCATAACCAATGCATTGATTCTGCTAATTTAATTGGTATCTTCAGTGCATAGAGACCAGTATACAAAAGAAATTAACTGTATAGTCTTTTATTCTTTAAAACTCCGTCTGTGATCTAGACTTTCTGTTTTTAACAAAATCAGATGGTTTTTTACCATCTGATTTTGTTTTTTCAAAATATAAATAATTGACAGACAATCCCAAAACAAACTATATAATATAAACTAGATGATATATTATATAAACTAGATGTCAAACTTGCGGTCCTTTATTGAACAAAAAATGATGTCACTTTTTTTGCTTAAAAAAATAACTTTCCATTTGTAAAAAGTGTTAAAGCTGAAGCAAATGTGTGGAATAAAAGTTCAAAATGCGAGTCAAAATTAACCAATAAATTAAAGATAATTCAAAAACATGTTATAATAAATATAAAGTATTTATCAAGGTTTATTTAAGGTTTGTTTCCATTTTAATTCCTTTTTAATCGAAAATAAATTTAGAAATCATAAGTTATTACTTTACAAGTACTCTAATTTCCTCTTAACTTTTTTACATATATAGATTACATATATAGATTTAAAATATATTACATATATAAAAATATATTTACTTCATATATAAAAAAATGGTTAAATAGTATTTGTTTACAAATTTAATCTGTCATTTGTAAAAAGGACAAAAGCGGCTTCACTTTTTGGATTGAAGTAAGACAACTAGTTTATATAAAATATCATTGGTTAATACACATGTGATCATATTTAAATATTTTTAACTGCATTCACCAAGGTCAAGCCTTAAAAAGACCCAAGCTTATTTAATAAACAGTTAGAACTGAATAAGAGTTTTGCCATGATTCAATCATGGCAAACTCATAAATATAAAACATTTTTATTCACTAAATTTTGTAACGGAATAAAAAGTTTTAAAACATTAGAATTATTCAATATTGTTTTTTCACAATTTTGTTAGGCTGCAACCAATCTAAAATGTTTAAAAATATTTATAGGCTGAATAAATAGGATGACATAATTTGTAACAGCAAATGATTTAGATTCATTTTAATAAAGTGATTGTAAATTTTTTGCTGTTTCAAAAGCTGGGCGTTAAAATATATTGTCCAGGTTTTGTTCTCTAAATAATGTTAAACATATTGAAATCAAACTCACTTAATGTTGAGCAAAACCTTTGTTACTAATTCTTAGTGTAAACTCGTTCAAATATTCTATTGTTAAGTTTAAGATTAAATAATGTAATTATGTATATTTAAGTCGACTTGTTCTGATTTTAATCACCTTGATAACTTAGTACTTTAACTCTGCACATAAAAATTGAAGAAAAATAATAACATTCAAAAAATATATATTTTAACTTGGCGTGAGTTTTATTAAAATATAAGATTAATTAGTTTTTCGGTTAGAAAGATAAGAGAATAAGTAAATGATAGTACTATGACGATATATATATATATATATATATATATATATATATATATATATATATATATATATATATATATATATATATATATATTTTAAAAACTATATCATATCACTTATCATATACAAAAACTACACACAAATATATTTGACATGTACTTTATTGAAATACTTCGGAGTTATTGAATTGAGAGGGGGTTATAACCACAATTGAAATAAAAAGGAGCCTCCTCAACTTCAGCTTCCTTTATGGCCTTTATGGCCAAAATCAGCTCTTGCTTTCAACTCTGAAATTAGGGAAACATGAGATTGTGATTCATTTTGAAAATTAAATACTGACTGAGTGTATATCATCTAACACTTTGCGTGTATTGATTTATATAAATATTTTCTTTATTATGACTAAGATCTAGTGTATAATTTAGATGTTCTGTTGCTGTTTCTGTAGGAAATGGTTTTCGCTTGCTTCATAGTGAGAAGTTATGAGTTCTTTCCTTGCCATGTTCCTGGTAGTAACCCGGAGGTGATTAACAATAAAAAAAATAAAAATAGCTTAATACAAATACATAAAAAATTGTTTACCTTTTTTCGTGACTTGAGACTCAAACTTATAAGAGTCAGTGTGTGTTATAATATTGCAGGAATAGCATGATATGATTATACCAATATACAAATTCGTAAAAGAAACAAGAAGCTTATTAAGTAATTTCTAGTCTAGTTCCACAACAAACCAAAAAACTTTCCATTCAAATAAATAAAATATATATTATGATTAAGACATTGTCTTAATATAACTTAATTGCCTTAAATTTATACTCAATATATTATGTATATTAAGTAAAAACCTTGTTTTAATACAACTTCTAACTGTCTTAGACAACTGAATTGAATGTCTTAAAAAAAAAGGCTCTGTATTTTTATTCGCATTTAATTAAACTGCTAAATAGTTTAATAACGGGTATTTAAAAAACCTATCATAGCATTATCTATTTGTAAATAAAATATTATGTGCAAATATTATATATGTTAGAAATTTTTAATATATAAGTAATGTTAAATATACAATGTATACAAAAACATAACAAAAATGTCAACAGTTTTTGAAAATCAAATAAAGTTTTAGTAACTTTTATTTATCATTAATATGATAAAAGTTTATTATCTAATTCGAATGTAGAATATAAAGAAATAATGTATTAATTATTAGTATCACGGAATATAATGCCTAAAAACCATTAAATTAAAATTAGATTAAAAATAACATCTTTTTTGATAACGGTTTTTCAACCATTTTAAAAATGCGCAAGTTTGTAAAATCAAGTTAAAAAGCTGACGTTGGTTTGATGTCAAAAGTAAAAACGCAAAAAAAGCAACGTTGTTCCAAAGTCGTTCGAACGTTAATCAGACTAACGTTAGTTTTACGTTAAACAACCAACGTTGTACCAACGTCGTTTTAATGTTAACATTCAAGACTTTAGATGATAACGTTTTTCCGACGTTGTTCCAACGTTTAATAGCAAACGTTAGAACAGCACCGTTATGCCGACGTTGGAACATCGTTGGAATTTAGTTAAATTGCGTCGCGACCAAAATACAACCAAATTACAACTACGGCTTGACGTCTTTTTCTTACTGGGTATACACTGCAGTGGTTTAAAAGTTACCTGTATAACAGAGAACAGTGTGTTATTACAGATGATAATTACCACAGTAAATTATTAAAATTAACTTGCGGTGTTCCTCAAGGTTCGATTCTTGCTCCTCTTTTGTTCCTAATCTATATAAACGACCTTGCAAAAGTTTCTAGCAAGCTTGAATTTATAATGTTTCATACCTGCCTGCAACCACTTTTTAGTTTTGCGGTTTGACCCCGGCCATTGTCATACATCGTTGGATTCGATACAATGAGTAGATTTAGGTTTGATAGGTCATCAAATTCCTTTTCAGCAAAATATTTATGTTTTAGGGGCGAAAAAGGCCCAATTTAGAAAAACATTCTCAAATTTGTGGATTTTTAAATTATTATTTCTTAAATAAATTTATATAATAAATTTATCAATTTTTTAAAAGTTATAGCCATTTAAGGTGTGAAAATGAGTCATAAATAGAATATATCGTTTGGATATGACTGTCATAAATATGTCATTTGTAAAATGCAAACATATTACACACATATACAAACCATGGACATTAACTAATGTTTTATATTATTAAGATTTTGTTTATTAATAAACTTAACATATTTTTGTGTAACATATTATCATAAAAAGTTATATTTAAGTAAAGTTAAAACATAAATATATTTTCAGGAGCATTTGCAATATTTACAAGGTTTTTTCCGTTAAAACTGATAACAGCTTTTTTCAAATGTTCAGAAAAGGAGCTGTTACTTTTGGAAATTTTTAGTCTATTCCAAGATTTATTAACAAAGCTGTAATGAATTACTTCAACAGCTTGTTCAGAGTAGCAGCCTAATCCACGCCCTTTTACTGCACAAAGAGCACCTATATGTTTTATAATAAAATGAATTTTCAATGAAACAGTTATTCCATAGTCTTCAACAAGTGTTCTGTAGTGATCTTCAAAGTTTTTAATATGTGTTTGAAAATCATTATGAAGTTTTTGTCTAAAACAAGACTCAACCAAATTGTTTAAAATTCTAAGCCCCTCTGCCAATGGCTTTAAATTAACTGGCAATGCACGCATGTACTTATCATAATTTTTAAGGATTTTACTAGAGGCGTTGCAATTAAAGGCATTATTCTGGACCTCTTTGAAATGTTTAAAATCATTGAAACTTTAGCCATTTTGTTTTCACCACCACATTTCTCTATATGATTATAAATATGATTAACAGCTCCCTCCATTAAGTGTAGCTCTGGTGGGAAAATATAATCAGCCACTAAAGAGTCACTGGTTTCTGCGTGTATCAATGGAGGATTAATAACGTTGCAAAATTCTTTAGCATTTTGTTTTATTGCACCTGATTGAGAAAATTTTGTGTACTGTTCCTCTAAAGAACCAAAAGTTCTAAGCTTTTCTTCTTTAAATGGTTGCATTCGTTTCCATTCGCACATATGGCAAGGTTGTGTAGCCATAGCACTTGGAGATAAGCCATACATTATTTGACAAAGCTTACCTGAGTTCTTTCGCTAGCAGTATTAGTTTCTTGTTGGACAAAGAAAGTGTTGATTGAATCCTTAATAAATCAATCAAGGTGATTTGTTTAGGTTTATTTGTTAAGGTTCCTATAGATATTTGTAAAGGTTTGGCACCTGTAGCAAGTTTAATCATTTTTGATCCTTGTTCATATGATTTTTCTGAGATAACTTGAGAAGCAATCTGATCCTTAACTTTAGTTGAGGTTTGAAGTTTTTCTAATACTTTTACAGCGAACGTTTTATTTCCACATTTGTGCTTCTTTTCATGGGGTACACGCAACTTGGAAAACTTACTACTTCTTCTTGCTCGGTTTCTTCAACGTAAACTGGTTAGTTAGCATGTTTTACACTGACAACTAGTAGAATTTCTGGTTAAAGGTGTAACAATGTTTTTAGTCCAGGCTATCTTTAAATTCGGCAAGTAATTTTTTCTCCGTATATTATTTCTACATTTATCACATATGCCGAGTGGATTTTTTGAATCAGTGCAATCTAAATCAAAAGTGGACACTTTCTCTTTTATCGATTGCTTATTTAATAATCTTGATGTTTTGTGGGGGCAAAAGTAACAAATCTTTTTTCGGTTTGTGTCATGATCACACTTTTTTTGTGGATGGGAGATAATAAGTATTTTTGTTTATCTACAAAGAAAAACAAATATGTATAAATGTGTATATAAATGATATTGCATACTTTGGTGAGCACTATGACACTATACTGATTTAGGGGTAGGCGAGGGCTTCAGTACAACACATCGACTGATTTATGGAGAACTCGCAAGGGAGTTAATAACACATCGAAGAGTCAGGGTTGGGGCAGGGATCAATTTATTTTCATTATTATTTCTTTTCCCTCTTTTCTCATTTAAAGTGAGCAGGATTAAAGTGAGCAGTTTTCTATTGTTTTGCTCATCTAATCACTCTATCTCTAGTATATATATATATATATATATATATATATATATATATATATATATATATATATATATATATATATATATATATATATATATATATATATATATATATATATATATATATATATATAAAGAAGATGTTCAAGACCGTGTATGTTGGAGAAATGGCATTATGAGAAACGTCCAACCCGTGCAAGCACGGAAACAAGGACGCTAAAACGATGATGATGATGATGATTAACTGTCATGAAAGTATCAAATTTTCATTTTAATGTATTCCCCCCTGAATTTTGAGGGAAAATTCCAAAATTGGGCCCTTTTAGCCCCTAAAACGTAAATATTTTGCTAAAAGAAATTTTATGATTTCGGTGACATATTAAACCTAATTCTGCTCATTGAAACGAATCCAATGATGTATGACAATGGCCGGGGTCAAATCTCAAAACTAAAAAGTGGTTGCAGGCAAGTGTGGTTTGCAGACGATACAAATTTATTTTACTCTTCGACAAACATCAAGGATCTGTATGATAATGTAAACATAGAACTCCAAAAATTAAATATATGGTTTAAAACAAATAAGTTATCCCTAAACATAGAAAAAACAAAATACACTTTATTTCATTCAAACCAACAAAGAAAAACACTACCAAATATTCTACCCTTTCTAAAAATAGAAAATATAGTAATTGAGAGAACTCACGAAACTAAACTTTTAGGAGTTGTAATTGATGAAAATTTATCTTGGAAAACTCACATAAATGCTTTAAACACTAAAATATCAAAAAACATAGGTCTACTTTATAAAGCAAAACCTATGCTGTCGCAAAGTAATTTAAAAATTTTATATATTTCTCTTTTATACATAGCTACCTTATATATGCGAATATAGCTTGGGCGAGTACGCATATAACCAAATTGAAAGCTTTATATCGACGTCAGAAACATGCTGTAAGACTAATCTACCATAAAGACAAATTTACACTCGGTGAACTCTTATTTAAAGAAATGAATGTGCTTAATATTTATCAAATTAACATTTACCAAAATATATTGTTTATGCTAAAATTTAAATAAGGTCAAGTACCAAACCATTTTTTAAATAACTTTTTTATAAATAAAGTTAATAAATATAACACAAGTGAAAAAGGAAACTTTATTACACCTTTCAAAAAAACAAAACTTTCCCAGTTCTCAATTTCATATCGGGGTCCTTATTTATACAACAAACTAGCAACTAAAAATAAATCAATTTACAACCTAGATAATCAAAGTTCCTTGAAATTAAAGTTAAAAAATCTGATACTGAATCTAAACAGAATTCTTCTAAGACTATAAATTAAAATACATATATATCAACTACAAAGTGACTTACTTACTCGTTTATGTGTATTATCTTACTCGTTTATGTGTATTATCTAAATGACTCTTAACTTTCTCAAACAATATATAAAAAATTGTTTATTACACACAAAAAAAAAAACACTTGATTTTTTCTTAACAATTTTAGTTATTATGCTGCTTGTTATGTCTAATTTTTTATACTGAGCTTATTTTGAGTTTATTTTTTTATGATGAGCTTAATTTAAAGATTATAAAAATATAGTTGTTAATATAAATTATACTTAACATAAAAAATATAGTACTTAATATATAATTATACTTAACATAATCATAATATATATCAAACACATTGTAAGGGCTTCGTGATAAGATCATTACGATCTTCTTGAAGTCCGGCCTGTACTATTTAATTATAAATTTGACTATACATTTTGACTCACGAGACTTGATAATATTACAACTTTTAATTTACGAAACTTGTAAATGTTATATGTAGGGGACAACGGGGTGAGATGGGACATGGGGCGAGATGGGACATGGCGATTTCTCAGCAAAAAAATTGTTAAAGCAGTTTTTTTTTATATATGTGATAAGATTACAATAAGTACTTCATA